GTTTATTCTTTATCCCTGTCTTTATCTCATACTGTCCATGCTGCAATGAGGAAAAAACCTGGATACTTTATTTTACACCGAACAAATTTTAGTATTTCCTTCTATGACAAAGAGACTGGGAAGGCTTTTCCATTTCATCTTGCTGTTGGCTTCTGCAAGATGTATTCAGCATCATACCTGATAGAAAAAAAAATGAGAATGAAGCCAAGAATTTTGGAAAATATGATAGAACCCATCTTGCTGACGCTTAAATTTTGATGCAGGATTTAGCAAACCAACAGAAACAGCTCAGGCTTAACAAGAGGATCAGTTCTGGGCGCTTCTTTGGGTCTCATCAGGAAACATCTTTATCCAGCACAGATATTCCTATGCTTTTTGACTTTTTATTTTAATTTAATGTCTTCTCTGCCATCGCTGTGCATTCTGAATTTGAGTTCTACGTCGTGCACACAGAAGTGTGCTCTTTACCTCGCTGATACCTGGTGTGGCAGCAGCAGCAACCAACACAGGACAGAATATTTGTGTGCTTGTGCTTTGAGTGTTCTCCTGTTAGTGCTGAGGCAAACCACAGCTGTAGGTAACATTTTCTGCTGCAATTACTGGCACAACACCTGCTCCCTTCAAGGAGAACAGGGCTGAGGCAGTAACCCCCCAAAAAATTTGCCATCACAAGTGTCTTAAAACTGTGCCAGGAGAGGAAGGCTGCTGTCTGGTCATGGGTGGCTGGGAATTGGGAGATGGAAGGTTGGTTTGCTTTTCTTCAAGGTTTTGGATTGGTCCAAAATGTGACTGTGCCTCAGTGTCCCGTCTTTAGGGCAGGGTGAAGGGGCTGCCTCTCCTCACTGCTTTGCTGAAACTCAAACCCTGGACTGCAGTGGATACTTTAGTAAGAAGCACCATTTATTACTTCATGGAGCTTTGGGAATTGTTCAGGACTATAAAGTACCTATTCCTATGGTAGCATTTCAATAAATGTGAATTTACAAGGGAAAAAAACACCTCTTGAAAATGTTTCAGTATGTTCTAGGAAGCCTTTCCAATAACAACCTCTACACTTTTTTACAGAGATTTACAGAATTTACATCAATAAACTGTCTCACTTCCCAGGCAACAGATCTCACTCTCCAAGGAAATGAACTCTTCTTACGTGTTTGGATTATGGAAAGGACTAGCTCTGCATGATTACAAATATCCATGTTATCTTTGGTGTTCACAGCTTGATTCACCTGAATTGTAATGGCTGTGTCTGTGAAACTTCCTCAAAATTTATGAGTGTAAGTGGGAAAATTAATTTTCTGAAGGTGCAAAACTGAGAGCAAATCTAAAGCTGAGTCTAGGGATTAAATTGAGAGAATAAGAAAATAAATAATTAAAATTTTATACTATGCAATCAGAAGGAAAATCTCCAAGACTTGCTACTTAAAACTACGTGCTGATGGTAGAATTTTACATATGACTGAAAAGGGGGGATTTAAAATGTTCTGGGTCATTACCAAATTCCTATGTTTTTACTCTGAGCCATAGGGTGATTCTAGAATAAAGCTTACGAGTACATAGAATAGTTCCTTTCATATTAGTGGCTATAGCTTAGCTGAAGTTGTACACGTGTTTTCCTTGGCAACTTTGCACATGAAATAAAATATGTCTTAAAATCTGTGTTGCTCCTTATTGGTTGTTCCTGCCGTGTCCTCCTCTTTAGATCCAGTTTTTGTGGTTTTACATATCATTTACTCAGGCCTGAGTTTCGTGCTGTCAGTCTGAAGTAAAAGGAAGAGGAAAATGCAGCTTTTGACAGGGCTGCTTTTGTATAATTTGTGATGAAAGAAATTTGGAATAAAAAGTTCCTTTACTACTACTTTGTAGTTTCAGAGGGAAAAAGAGGCAGAAAAGGATCTTCCAAAAATAGAGGACAAATGAACTCCCTCATGTAAGTATCACTACTAAGGTTCTAGAGAGATGGCCTAGTTAAGATATAATTTTTTAAATTTATATGTGTATTTACATATTTTATATACATGCTGTGACTGTGAGTACTTAAACTGCCTCAAGGGGTTGTTCCGGTTTTCCTCAAGATACACCAAAATCCTATTTCACAAATGTTGGCAAGTCTTCACAAACGAGGACAAGTTTCCCAGAGTTAGGTGCTGCTCAATTTCCCTACTTCCTGTTGAGATATTAACTCTGAATTTTCAGGGCAGGTGACTCTAAAATGCAGCAGACACTGCTGAAAACAGAAAAACCATTTCATGATGGCTTACTGCTTTTGGATTTCCTTTCTAATCTGTCCCTGAACTAATTAAGGCAGCTTGACTTGAAGATTAATTTAAATTCTAATTATCTATTGTAATAAGGCTGAATATCTATTTGGAGAATTTTAATGTGGCAAACTCAAACACAGCAGTGTGAAATTTAATGTGCCCAACTGCTCGGCATAAAATAATTTCAAGCTGAAATGCATTCTGGTTTTTGAATAGCTTTTTATCTCATTTTTCCCACCATAAAGCAGCCAAGGCTGAGAAATGAGACCTGAGGCTGTCCCTGGGTGTCCCTGCAGGTGCAGGCTCAGGCTGGCTGGGAAGGGGTGGCACTCTGCTTTTTGAGAGGCTTGCCTCATTTAGGATTGGAAATGCAAGTAGGAGCAACCTACTAATATTTCGAGATCTTTGCCTATGAATCGAATCTGCAGCCTAAAATTTCTGTCTTGAATGCCATAGGGATAGATTTGTTGAGTCACAAGACAGCGACATGAAAGAGATCTGAATTGTGCCTGCATCTGAATGTCAGGTTTAGCCTCCCCTGAGCAATCTAAGAGAGCAGAAACAATTAAAAAAAGAATGACACATTCTTCATGAATGAAAGAAAATGCAGTAAGAATGCTATTCTCTTCTCTCTAATACATGGCTTAATTTTTACAAAAGAAATGATAAACAGACCAGCTTTGAGATGAAATCATAAGCCCTCAGATGAGAGCAAATTACTGGATTTAAGAAGATCAGGTGGAAACAGAGCAGAGAAGTAAAGGTAAGTAAAATGTTTAGGGGCAAATGAAAATCAGCCTATGTGCCATTATGTACCAACAGCCTTTTTTTTTTTCCAGAGGACAGGTTTTGACCAAAGGAGGAGTGCTGTGGGTGACACTGGCCAAGGGTGACCATTCTGCCAAGTGCCAGGATCCAGATGGTTTTTTCAGGAGATGTGTGATCCCAGGCAGCTCTAACTGAGATTACACATTAACTGATGTTATTCCTTGTGTTATCACCCAATAATTAAACTCCAAGTGTTGTTTAAACATAAAGGCCACATGAAAAACAGAACAGATGGAAAATATTTCAACTGTGTGCCACGAAAAGCAGCTCAAAGCCAAGAAAACAAAGGAATAAGGAAAAAAGTGAATAATGGCTGTTGAGAGCTGGATGTAGAGTGAAAGGTTTGGTAAAAGCTGAGAAGTAATAGTTAGGAAGCAGCAATTTGATGTAACGAAACCCTCTGTAGGCCCTTGCAATAACCTTGGAAAATTTAGGGTGGTTTAGGAATGAAACTGATCTGGAGATTGGGAAAATGAAGATAGTTCCTCTATTATCTAACTTGATTTTAAAGCTCTCACTTCTCCACAAAGCCTCTGAAGGCCTCTGTGTATTGGCCCTTTTTATCCAATCCAAAATTATTTTCTGGTATTTAGTTTGGGTATTAACAAAGTTCTCATTTTCATAGTAACCAATTATTTCAGCTTAACTGTTCACATTTTCACAGCAATTAACTATTTCTGCTTAAGCCTCAAAACCCTTTGAGAGACTTTTCATCCTCTTTCTGCAGAGGGAAACACTGCAGCCCAGATTTCCAAAGTGTTCTGGTGTTCATTTGTAATCACATTAAAATGTGATTACTGTAGTTTGATGATTGAAAAATGGGAGTTATAAACTAGATTTTTAAAAAAAATATAAACTCTGTGTACAGTAGATCAAAATCTGGCTGGAAAAATTGAGGCAGTATAAGGATGAATGCTGCAATAAACAGTAAGGGGAAATAAAATTTTGATATTGCATTTTGTTAAAACATTTCACAGCTGAGTAATTTGAACACAGTTTAAAAAAAACAGAGGTTAAAAATATTCCTCTTAAAAATAAAGCTTTTTGCCAAAATATTGCAGCTTCAGGGTCGGTAACTTTATTATTTCATGCTGCCACCTACTGCTTTGGAAATGGAATAGGAAAAATAATCGGTATTTTTTATCAGTCTGATGAGCCTATTTGCTACTTTGTGGTGTTCTTAACGCGTGGCATTATTTTTGAATGCTGAATGCTATTCAGATCTTCCCAACCCTGCCTCTGTCCATTTTCATTTGTGAAAGGACATGCCTTCCAAACATAAGCATGTTTTCACTTCAAAAACTGCCACGGGCCTTAGCCTAAGCACTGTTATTCCTAAAATGTTAGTTAACAGCCAATGTCATGTGACTGCTCTGTTAAAACACAACTCAAGCCACAGCTTCTGTAATTTTATGGTAATAAAGGAATACACTGTGACTGTAAAGAAGTTTTTTATGCTAACATGAAAGTAGTTCTTTAAGCTGGTATAGAGGCTTAGGACTTTTGGCCATACCTATTTACTCAAAATTGCACTTCATGTACTTAGAACTAAAACAAAACAAAACCCAGCCATATTTTATATTGCCATTTCTGTGTTTCCCAGCTGCAGATATGAACTGCTGGGAATCCTGATAAAAACAGTGTTAATTTTTCCATGTTTTTGAAGAAAATATTACATGCTTCCTGCACAAAGTAATTGGATAAAAAGAAAAAGGTTCAAATACACAGCAGTGTTACCAGTAACTAGTACCAGACAAATAATACACAAAGAAGTCAACAATATGCTATATTTTTAATTTGGCAGTAGAACAGCATATAGTGAATAGAAACCCAATATTGAAGACCCATTAAAACAGTCCACAGTGATAGTGGCAAAATATCCAGCAGAAATAATTCTCAGTGTGTTGGTGGACATCACTTCAGGTTCTGCATTGCTTTCATGCTTTGTATCTTCTTTTCTTCCAGTGCCTTCAGGATCTTATCTAAACAGGAATTCAATATAATTTGTCATTAATGATGTAGTTAATAATTTACAGTACTTTTAAGTAAATCCAATAATGTGTTAAGCAAACTAATATTCCTTGCAATGCCTTGGCTAGCAAATATCTGAAAACTAGAGCTTCTCAAAATAGTAAGTATTAAAAATAGAAAGTGATGTGTATTGCTATAATGAAGGGGGAAAAAATACCCAAACTACCAATCTGAATTTCTTTTGAAATCTTCCTTTGACTGCATATATCTGATAGACATTTTTCCTATTTTCTTGTAACCTTTGTGCTCCTGAAAGTTTCCTGACAGGCAGCCTGTGACCCAGGAGGAAAAGATGAGCATGAAATCCTTACAGCTGTTGACCTCACCACCTGAACTCTCAGTGCCATCATCATCTGCTGAGCTATTTTATTCCCTGCACATTCTTCATGGCCAGCAGGTTGCAAAATTCAAATGCCAAGCTCACTTATAATTTAACTGGATGGTTCTTGTTCGGTTGGTGGTTTCTTTTGGTGTGGGTTGTTTTGATTTTTTTTTTTTGGGGCGGGGGGGCGGGTGTGTTTTGGTTTGGGGATTTTTTAATGCCTCCAACTATCCGTGGCCTTTATTTTACATCAAAGCTGATGCACAACTGCAGGGGCTCATTGCTACTCGATACATTTCGCATCTACAAACTCCCTCTCGCTCGACTGACGCCTGCGTTGGTTTTTTTGTTGTCACTTAACGACTTCGGGGTTTTGCTCCTTTGTGCAGCAGTGACTACACCCGCAGTTCTTGTCACTGCTCTCAGCCCCGTGGGCGGTGACCCGGGGCAGCGCCGTTTGTCCCCGCAGTGCCGCCGTGCTCCCGCACGCACCTGCGCTGCCCGCGGTCTGCCCGGGCTGGCTCTACGGCGCTGCGGGATACCCCAAACCCGCCCCGGGCGCATCCCGCTTTGGGGTCCCTGCCGGGTCCCGCGGCCGGGCTGCGCTGCGGGACGCTGGCGGTGCCGTGAGCACGCAGCTCCGCCCGCCGCTCCGCCCGCCCCGCCCCGCGCCGCGCACGCACACTGCCTGCCGTCGAAGCCGTCGCCGATGAGCGCCGCCAGCTCCAGCTCCTTGAGGCGGATGCCCAGCTCGCACATCTCCTCCTGCAGCTGCAGCTGCGCCAGCTCCGGGGGCCGCCGCGCCGCGTCCCCGGCCCGCCGGGGCCCAGGCGCCGCCCGCCGCCCGCGGCACCGGCTCGGTGCCGTGGAAGTGCGGGAAGTACAGCGGCGGCCACGACGGGCGCTGCACGGTCATGGCGCAGCCTCGGCGCCGCCGCTGCCGGCCGTTGTCCCCGAGGCGGCCGGGAGCGCCCGGTGAGACCGGCGGTTGTCCCCGAGGCTCCCCGGGACAGTCCCTGCGGGTGTCCCCGAGGCTCCCCGGGACAGTGCCCGCGGGTGTCCCCCCGCGGTATTGTAAAAGCAGGCGACCCCCGTCGAGGGGAAGAATGAGGTATCTGACTCCATGATATCAGAAAGGCTAGTTAATCACTTTGTTGTATTATTTTATAGTATATTACGCTACATCTAAACTGAAACTGCGCAAGCACTCAAGCGAACCAAATCTCCTGTCCGCTGACCGACAGCCTGCACACGCGCTTGGCCCCGACAGGCCAAGGAAACAAAACCCCATCACTTTGGGAAACAGCCTCCACATTGCATTCCGCTTTGGCACAACACAGGAGCCGCGGATGAGATAAGAATTGCTTTGATCATTCTTTGCTGCTCTCAGGTTCAGAGAATGTGAATCCCGCACCCCGGGACAGTCCCCGCGGTTGTCCCCGCGGTGCCCCGGCCACAGGAGCTGGGCTCCACACGCTCCCCTCCGGCCGGAGGCTGCCCCGTTCTTTCCCTCCTTGTTACTTCTGTCTCCAGCGTCTTCCCAGTTTTCCTGTGGAACGGCAGGAATGGAGCTGGCTGAGGGCGTGGGTTGTGGAGTCACACGAACTACGGGTGTAGTCACTGCTGCACAAAGGAGGAAACCTCCAAAAGTCATTAAGTGACAACAAAAAAAAAACTGTTGAGCAGCAACACAGGCATCGGCGAAGTGAGAGGGAGTTGGTACATGCAAAATGTGTTGAGCAGCAATGAGCCCCTGCGGTTGTGCATCAGCTTTGATGTAAAATAAAGGCCATGGATAGTTGGAGGCATCAAAAAATCACCAAACCAGAGCACACCTGCCCCCACCCCCTCCCCAAAAAAAACCTAAAAAAACAAAAAAAACCAAAAAAACCAAAAAAAAAAAAAACCCCCAAAAAAACCCCAAACCAAAACCAAAACAAACAAACAAACAAAACAAAAAAAACCCAAAAAACTCAACCCAGCAGTTTTATTTCTGGGCTGGGAACACAGTGTTTGAGAGCGTGCAGTAAACTCTGGAAGTAGCATTGGTTAAAAGAAATGAGGAAGGCACTGTCCTAAAAGACTTGAACTTTTTGAGGTTTTTCTTCAAGGCTGTGTGTGAAATAAGCCAGCTACTGATGATAGAAGGGTGTTGGTGATGAAATGAGGAAAAATTCGTTTTCAGGTGGTTGTGCATGAATGGCTGATGCTCTGCATGTCTGCTGTTCAGGATTGTGGAGTTTTGGTGGGTGGGGATAGGTGCTGGCCTACTCCCCAGAATTTTCCATTTTGCTTGTTTTTATTTGAGGATGACACCTGTCATTAATACTGGTTGGTGATTATTTCTTTAGCCTGACTTCTCTCCATTAAATATGACACACCTCCTCCAGCCCTAGGCAGCAAGTGAGGGCATTGCTGACTGCTTCTGTGGACCTCATATCTCCAGCAGGAGGACTTTTGGGATGGATTTAAGCTGATTTGAGGTATTCTGGACAACCCTAGTAATAGAGGTGCTGTACCAGTACTGTTGATAAAGTATTGGTGACTGCAGGGGCTGTGCAGGTTAGTCAGGATCAATAAATTCCCTTAAAACAAGGTGAAAGTCCCACTGCACTACTAATGCAGCCTTGAGCAGACTTCAACAGTACACAGCCTCTAAGGGATTGCTGTGTACTCTGGAGTAAATTCCATTTTCCAAGCCTTCCCTTCAATAAAACAAGAAGATTTTCTAGAAGCAGAACTTCTGTGCAGTTTTAAGTGCTTTCCTCTGAGCTGTGAGGAAATGCTGATGTGAATATTTTGGAACTTGTCAGATCTACAGATGCTGGCTGTCACCAGAGTGGCAGTCAGTGCCCTGAAAAGTGGTGGGGACAGCAAAATAGTGGCAGGAGTCACTCAGTATTTTATTTTAAAGCACAGTGTTCAGGGTTAGAGTTCTGAGTTAGAGTTTATGCATGTTGTGTTACATGCAGCGTGCCTAAATAATTAAAATTCCAGTACCAGTGAAATCCCAGTACAGGTTGCATATTTTGTAGATGGAAACACACGTATTTTAAATAAACACTGATCAGAGGAGAAGTCTGATAACAAGATTCTCTCTGGACATCCTGTTCCAATGCTCAGTCACCTGCACAGTAAAGAAGTTTTCCCTCATGTTCAGGGCAGGATCTCCTTCCTGATCTGGTGGCAATATTAGGGAGGGGAAATGCACTGCAGGATGCCATTGGCCTTTTTGGCTTCCAGAACACACAGCTGGCTCATGGAGAGAATTTTTTGTCCACCAAGACCCCCAGGTCCTTCTCCACAGAGCTGCTTTCCAGCAGGTTGGCCCCCAGCCTGGGCTGGTGCACGGGGTTATTCCTCCCCAGGTGCAGGACCTTTTGGCCTGTGATGAATTTCAAACAGTTCTTTTCTGCCCATCAAGACTGCCGTGCTGTGAGAGGTGAGAAGAACTCTGCTTTTAGCAGAGATCCATGTGCCTTTTTTATCGTGTTACACACAGCTCACACACCTGCCTTCACCTTTGGCATTGAACATTTGGTACCAAAACCGGGAACATTTAACCCTGGGTTCTGCATGCAGGCAGGCATAAATGACACAAAGAGCAGAGTCTAGAGACAAAAGCTGTCTGTGTGTGTTTTTTTGGCCAGCAGTTGCCAGCGCTGGGGCCACCAGCTGCACAGTTGTGATCCGGCAGAGGGAGGCAGACACACACGTGTTGGTGTGTCACGCTTTGTCACATCTAGCACCTTCGTCTCTGTGTGTTTAGGTGCTGATATTTGAAGTGCTTATGAGAGTGTTTGCTTTGGAGAAGCAAATCTTTTGCTTATCTAGCCAGCAGAGTCTGTAGTGACAGCATTCCCTCCACTACTTCTCTAAACACAAACATCACAGCTCTTTGAGAGGTTTTTTTAAGGATAGTGAATTGAAATTATGAAGTCTGAGAGCAGCTAAAATATTCTCATATTATTGGCAGTAGTGGTTAGACTGCAGTGTTAATGACAATAACTGATACTCAGAAATACTGTGTGTGAATTCATGTTTTCACACAGGTTGCTCCAAGTATCTCTAAAGCCACTAAAGCTACAACTCTTCCCCTTTTACAATAAATTTTCATGTCAGTTAAAAACCCCCAGATTTTTATTGCTGATGTATCATGAAGGGTTATAGCAAAAAAAGCTGGATTTAACATCTAATGTGTTGTTTAAAATGTATACTAATAAATCACATTGTTGCACACGGTTGAGAATTGTGTTGGTGTTCAAGCATGAATATTCTGCCATCTCTTCTTTTTAGTTTAGGTTTCTTTTTTAGCTGAGGTGGATTTTTCCTGCCTTTTATGGTCTATTTCATTGTATTGGAATTCCTGGTCGTTCCAATTTGCATATTTTATACCAACTTCTGACTTTCAGCTCCCAAATTCCCAGCCTTTTTTGCTGTCACTCAGGTTCTCCAGCAAAAATTACTGTATTTTGTCCTTGCCAGAGGAAAAGCTTCTAAAAAACTCTCCAGGAGCTGCTGTGCTGTGCTCCCAAAGCCTGTGTCTGCAGGCGCTGAGCTGAGACCCTCCTGCTCCCCTCGTTCCTTTCTGCTCCTGCTGCTTCTTGTCTCTCCCATTTGTGACATTTTTTGGTGCTGTTTCTTGCTGAGAAGCAGCAGAGCCCCACTGTGTGTGGGAGCAATTGTCCTGCCTCTGATTTGTCCCTTGTTTCTGTTCGAAGAGGTGTTGGTGCTGTTCCGCCCAACACTGATTCGGACGTGTGACCTCCACCTCTGTATAACAGAAAACATAATAACTTTATTAATTATTAATTATTCACCACAAACACAGATTTCATTTGCTGTTAACAACATGTAATTGTTTTTCCTGAGCTCCTCCTGGTTTCAGTTTATGTCACTCCCTTCCCTGCTGTGTGTCTGGCCTGCCACGTGTGTCACATCACAGTGATGCAAACCAAATCTGAAGTGGGCTATTTATAAAGCCTCAGAGCACTTTGCCAGCAAACTTCAAATTAACAGAGAGCAACTAATTAACAATTATACAATTTGAAAGAAGTGCTAATTAAAAAAGTTTTTTAAGAGGTGAATTTTCAATTGAAATCCAGAATTAACTAGAGACTTAGCGCCTGAAATAGAAATTTGAATTGATTAACAGAAATGCAAAAAAAAGTGCTGGCTGTGTAAGAAATGAATTTTTAATTTTTTCTTCAGTGCCATGTTTAGGATCTGAAGAAGATGTGCTGTTTTGGCCAGAAGGTATAAATCAAACTGTTTTTCAGTAGTGTTGTTTTAGTCTTACAGTGTTTATGGTCGTGTTCAATCACAAAAATTGGAGATTTTGGCAGAGGAGCCAAGACTCTGCCTCTCTCTGATCATTTCTGTGCCACTGAGTTCAAAATGCCTGCCTTATTTGAAGAACACAACAGGAGGTAAGAAACAAGAAGTTTTCTGGAAGACAGGAGCTGCTTAAAAGCATCCAAGTCTGGTAACTGGGGAACCTTTTTATGTTCTGGGGTTTTTCTCCTCTTTGCCATTCTGTCCTGTTCTGGGAATGGGAATCTGGTGGCTTCAGGAGTGGGACAGATGTTACATTTTTACCAAAGTGGAGCAGGGTGCATGAACAGAATAAAAGCAGCATTAAAAACTGATCTACCTGAAGGCTCCCTGAAAATTTCTCCTGAAATTCCTTGGGTTTATGCATTGTATCTTCTGCATGAATATGTGTAGGGTGATGGAGAAGAAATGAGATTATTTTGATAGAGCAATGTCTGCATATTAATTGAGCAGGTAAATATTTTGATTAGCTGTGTTTGCATCTGAGTTAATGATGGGTGCTTTTTCTTGAAACATGAATCTTTGTCAAACCCTGATGGATATCTCCAAATTTATCTCTAGAATGACCTCATTTCTGAAATG